CCAGGGTAGCCTGTGAAGGAATCCCAGTGGGAGAGCAGATATTGTTGAACTGTCTGAATCACGTGCCCACTTATTCACATGCACAGATTTACATAAAACTTGCTTTTGTTTCCCTGTGACATTTCTCTTTCTCTTTTTTTCATTCCAAACAATTTTAAAAATAAGGTTATATTAGACCACACACAGGCAGTGCTGTATCATGTCACTGCTTCTTAAGCAGAACTCTCTAATTTATTTCAAAGGGAAGTTCTGCTTCAAAATTGAGGGTGTGATATGAACTCAGAAATTAACACAAGAATTTTCCTTGGGGGGAACCAAGACTGAATCAGACATGCAATAAATGACCTCGGAAGCCCCGTGCCTTGGTACATCCACCTATCCAACATTACGCTTTAACGTAAAAAATGATTTTCACCATTATCTTATTCCAAGCTAGGTAGAGGAGCTGAAAGAAGTGGATTTGCTTTGGTCAGGAGGGAACAAATTACTCATCTGTCTGTCTGCCAGGAGGTCCATCAGCAGCCACCGCACTCCTAACGCTTTCTGCCGGGAATAGGAGGATTTATGGGGACAGAGCACCATCCCGGCGAGGTCCCGCGGTGCAACCCCTGCTGCCAGGGAACCCGGCTGGGCTGCTGCTCTCCCACAGCAACAGGCACTGCTGGGAACACACGGAGCTCCTGCTGGCCTCCAGCTGCCTTCCCTGCCTCCCTCCACACACAGCATCTGGAGCGGGACGCGGCAATCCTCTCCCAGCGACAAATCCCTGCCGCACGGCGACTCCGGGGAGCTTTCCCACCGGTTCCAACAAGATCAGAACTCAACACAGGAAAAAGCAGTACTAAACTATTGCCCTGACAGTGCAAGTCAGGACAGACAGACCTCGCAGAGAAGCAGCTGAGCTGCAGATTTCCTTCCGCCAGCTGCTGCGGGGGCCACGGCCTCCTCCTGCACAGGGATGGAGCAGCCCCGGGGAAGGGGATGCAGCAGGACCAGCCGTGTCCTGGGGCTCAGCGGCTGCTGCCTCAGCTTCTGTCCAGCAAAGAGCAGCCCCAGACTGCAGCTCTGTGCTTTCTGACCTCGTGTTAGACATTTGGGCCCCGTGGCCCCAGGCCAGCAGTAACTGCACTTTCATCTTGCCCTGCCCAAGGGGACATTTCAAACCCTCTGAAGGAGCTCCGGGAGCCCAGCAGACCATGGGGACCAGGCTCTGACCAGGGGCATTATTTGTGAGTCCTGCTGCCTAATCTGGGGACTTCGGCTGTGCAGGGCTGGGGAGGTACCCCCACCCTTCTGCTCCCACGTAAGCTCTGGTTAGACAACTTAATAATTAAGAAAATGAGGTAGTGTCTGTTTTCCCAAAAAAATGGAAGCTCTTGGACTTCTGGTTTTCCTACAGACAGAAAGCCCAGTGCCTCAGCTTTACATATGGAACATTTTAATCCTGCCTTCACCTCGCATGCTCGGCACACACACCTGAGGGGCACAGAAGGTGTGAGGAGCACCCCTGGGATCTCCTCCATCAATGGAAGTGGGGAGAACTTGTGCCCTACGTACAGGACAGCACGGCTCATTCCCCTATTTTATAAACCTATTTACAAAAGGAACTTAAAGGAACTTATAAGTGCTCCTTCTACCATTTAACTACCACATGGTACAAGATATAACAATGTTCAGAAAACCCCCTCAGGTCTAAACTCAATTATACAACTGTAGCAAGAAAAATATTTTAATCTGATCAAAGTGTTAACATGTTTGACCATGTCTGACCTCTAATGTTTGTAACCACCTAAAAGGCTGATGTTCTTACTAAGGATGTACCTTAATTTGATTTAAAGTCATTTGTACTATTTAAAAAAGGATATAGTTTTATGATTTTATATTTAATTTAGAAAAACAGTTCCTCAACTTGCTCATATTCTTTGGAAGTTTCTTGCAGGTTTTTAACCCATAAATCCCATATATTTCACTCTGGGAAAAACTGGGCTCTGCATGAGACGGGAGAGTGGAGCCCTGAAGCACCAGGCACACAGCACCTGGGAGCCAGGTGAGAGCCAGCTCTGCTGGGGGCTGGCAGAACGCTGGGATTTCAGGTGCACACGGGCTATGCTGAGGGGCTCCTGACACCCTTCACCTCCCCAGCCCAGCAGCTGATGGGGTTCACGGCTCGCTCCCAAAACCCAGGCTCAGCCCATGCCTGGAACGCAGCTCCAGAAGCACTTCCACCCTGGCTGCACCCCTGACACAGCCCTACTGCCAGCCCAGGAAACCTGGGCCTGCTCAAAGCAGCATCACTCCTGCTGAATTATCCCACACTGGCATTTGCCACCTGCAGCCGAGATGGGCCACCCTGCTGTGGGAGCCCCGGCCACCCTCCTGCTGCTGCTGGCCCTCTAGGGACCACCAGCTGGGCTTGGCCTTGCTGCTGGTGGCAGGTGCCCAGACACCTTCAGAGCATCGCTCTGGAGCGGCATCAGAAGCTCGGAAATAACACGAGTGGGTGTGTTTTGGTAAAAAGAGGCAATTTGGGCCGGGAGATGCGGGGAGCCGAGCAGGATGCTGGGGCGAGCAGCCTAACAGTTAGTGGCTACAACCACCTCGAGGGAAACAAAGCAGAAGTGATGCTGCTGCTGAGAAAATCAGAAAGAAAATAGGAAAGCAGCAGTGCCGGTAGCAACACACCCACCCAGGCAGGCGCCGGGGCCGCTCCAGCGGTGCTTGCAGGGCCCTGACGGGGTTCGTGGGGAGCCCACCGAAAAAAATGTGGTTTTACAGAGTACTGCAGGGCAGGGGCTCAGCCCCAGCCTCGGCTGCCCCTCGTCTTTCAGGGAGTTATACTCTGTTCTCAATCAGGTAAATTACTATTTTCGATGCAAAGCCCTGAAAGTTTGCCAGAGTACTCCTGGGTTAATCTTTTAATTTATATTTTTTTTTTTTTGAAGATTCTAAAATTAATCCCGGCTGCAAACAACCGTTTCCAGGAAGCCTCATTAACCAAAATACAATCTCCACTATCAAGAGCACGCATGGCTGTGATACGTAATCCCATTCACTCACACAACCTTCCTCCCCGACTCTACTTGTGCTAAAGTGTTAATTAAACACACTTTTATGGATGGTTAAATATCTGCAATCTTCGGTCACAGATCTGACCTCCCCAATTATTGGAAGCAGCCACCAGATTATAGCCCACACTTCACATAATGTACACAGCAGCAATAAATCTATATGAGAGCAATCCATAATTTACCATGATAACCTTTGCACAGTCAATAGAAACACAAGACAAAATTGCCCAGAATAATATACTGGAATAACTATTGCAACAAATTGGAAAACCACAAGACCAGCCTTGATCTGAGGAATAAATCTTCCCCTGTCTGTTAGGTAACAAGATTTTTAGCTGAAAACATCAAATCAGCTCTTTAAAGTCACACAACATCAGCCACGGCAGGACCTGAGCAGGCCTAAGGGAAGCTGGCTGAGGCACTGGATGATTTTGGTGGCTCTCACGGGCACTGGATCATTCCTCCTCTGCTACTTAAGTTTTCTCCCCTTCGAGTTCTGCACAGTCTGTTTACTCCTGTCTGCTGCTCTGACAGTAACCACTTGGATTTCATTCCATTATCAAGGGGAGAGGTGATTCCCAAACCACAATCTGCTTTTTAGCCCAACTGCTAATAAATAGGCTATTGCACTTTGCTGCCCATCTAGGAAGAGTTTAAGATTAAAAGAAATGTTCCACTACAACAAATAGCAGCTGGACCAACATAACTCTGAACTCACCCAGATTGTATCCCAAGGAGCTTACTAAATGTGTTTCAATAAGACAAATTTAATATAATTTAAAATTTATCAGGAAGTGAACAGCTTCGTATCTAAGGGGATGGGGGGGATAGCTGATACCTGGATGAAGGGGCACAAGGTGGGAAGCACCAGAAGAAATGCATTTGTGGGACCTGTCTCCTGCTGCCCAGGCCAGCTGGGTCGGGCGTGAGGGTCCGGCACTGATTCCCACAAATAACACTGAGTTCCACACCCCACAACCCACCAACTTTTCATAACACCAGTTTAACATCCTACCCCTCTTGTGAACAAACGACCGGAATTGAGGACGGTTTTATAGGTCCTTTTAAACCTCACCCCTTTAAAGGTTAAAAACTAAGCCTGAAATAAACCAAATTATGTTCCATCCTCCTTTGCTGATGGCTGATGCAGAACAACGTCTGAGACAAACGCAGCAGTGCCGGCTCCCCAGGAGCCACACGGGCACCAACTGACTGCTGCAAAGTCGGGACACTGCTGCAGTTCTGATAGAGATGGGGATGGGAAAAGACAGCTTTTGTAGAGAAGCCTTTAGTTCAATCATTCACATAGCAAAACTTAGAAATATTACAACATACAGAATTACTGAAGCTGATTTAAACCAAGAGGGAAAAACTTTACAGCAAGAAGACGGGAACAGTCCTCCAGCAGTGTGAAGCCTTTTCCTAAAAACCTCTATTGCCATTTTAGAAGCACAAGACCCACCTTCTGGGCCATCATCCACCACACAGCCCTAACCCACAGCACACCAGAACCTGGCTGTTTTACAAGCAGACACATCGAGCTCAACTTTGGCTGTGGGACATGTCCCTGGACACAAACACCAGGGGCTGCTCCTTCCAGAGCCTGTGACCCAGAAAAACGAAGGCACATTCTTCCATTGGATATTAGGGTTTGACTGCTGGAAGAGTAAAGGCAAACCTAGAGGATGGGGAGATGGGGAAGGCAGCTCCTCCAGCAAATTCAGAGCCAAGGAGGCGCTTCCTGCCGAGCATCTCTGCCCCTTCCCGTGGCTTCTCCCTTCGGCTCGGACAGAACAGTGCCTGGGTATTCCCGAAACCAGGCTCCAGTTTGTCAGGAAAAAAAGCACACGGAGGTGCCTGCACAATACCCACAACATACTTCAGCAGTGAGAGAGGCCAGGAAACTTCTCCATGAGGAGACGAGGAACTCACCAGAGGTGACATAGATCCATTTGGCAGATACGGATCTGAGAGCATCAGGAAAGGGTAGCCGGAGTATGCAGATCCTTTATACATCCCTGGGTCCTGATGTTTCATACCTGCTGAAATCAACGTGCCCTGTCAAAATTGGCCTTTTGACAGGTGATTCCCCTGCCTGTCGGGGGTCCTCAAAGAGGTTGCACTGTGTTGTGGGAGTCTTTTTGTCCTGTATTCCCTGGAGAAAGCGTTGGGGGGTGCCAGGATCCCCCATGGGTGTGGGATCCCACATTGGGGACACCGGGAAGCCTCGGTGCTGACAAACGCAGCTTTCCCACGGGGGGCTGTGATGGCCAGGCTGACATCCCTCCCTCCCGGGGCCGACAGGGTGATGGGTTGGGGGACCGGGGGATCACCACCCCGGGGAGGGCGAGCACTGGGCAGGGCACACCGGGGAAGACCAGTGGGAACCGGGAACGAGGAGAGGGGGACACACGGAAACACGCGAGGCCTGCCGTGACTAACCATCATCCATGTGGTCCGGGAGCTTCTCCTGGTAAACTCTCTGCGGATCCTGCACTCGCCGGAGGGCCTGCATGGGGAGGAGAGAGAGGGGCAGCGCGGGGGCGGTGGGGAGGGGCGCGGGGCCGGGCGGGGGGCGCGGATCGGGCCGGGCTCACCCACCTCGGGGTCTGCGGCGGCGGCGGCCGGGCTGCCGCTGCCCTCGGACTCGTTCACCAGCGAGGACTTGAGGTCGGCCAGGTCGCGCTCGGTGAAGGCGTTCTCGGGGATCTTCTCCTCCTGCTCGCCCTCGTCCTTGAAGGCCAGCATCTCGTCCGTGGCGCCCAGGTCGTCCCCGCCGCCGCTGCCCAGCTGCGGCATTTTCCTCCCGCCGCTCCCTCCCCGCCGCTCAGCAACTTTCCCGGCGAGTATTGTTCTCCCGGATCAAGCCCTCCGCAATTATTATTATTATTTTTTGCCCTCCCTCAATTTTTTTTTTCCTCCTCTTGGAAAAAAAATATATATGTAAAAAAAACTTGCTCCCTTTTGAATTTTGTTCTCCTAAAAGTTTTTTCCTCCCTACCTCTTAACTTCTAAACTTTTTCCTTTAATTTCGCTCCCCGCTTTCCGAATTCCCTCGAAACTCTTTCTTTAGGAAAAAAAAAAAAAAAATCAGAATCGCTTTTCCCCCTCTTCAATCTTTTCCTCCCCCCTCCCTCCCGCTCTCCCCGCTCCCCTCCCCGCTCCGGCGGCTCTCGGGGGGCTCGGCAGGCTGCGGGCGGGCAGGCGTCGCGGGATGCCGGGCTCCGGGGGCCCCCGCCCCGTGCCGCCGCCGCCCCCCCCGCCCTCCGAGCCCCGGGAAGTTTGGCTGGAGCAGCGGGCGCCGGCGGCTGGCGGAGCACGGAGCGCCCGGTCCGACTGCGAGCGCGGCGGCGCGGCCGGCGAGCGCTGCGACATCAAAGCGGCCGCCGGGTGATTGGCAGCGCCGGGGAGGGGCCGGGGGCGGGCACAGCCGGGGACACACACACAGGGACACACGGACACACAGACACACAGACGCGGGCGCGCACACGCGCCGCACACGCAGCGCCAAGTCCCTGCCTTAAAGGGATGCTGCGGAGGGGTGAGCCCCTTCCTTCCTCCCCGGGGTTCTGGGGTGCGGGGCGGGCAGCACTGGGGGCCTGGTGCAGCCCCCCCGGGTGTGTGTGACATCTGTTGCACGCACAGGTGTGCACACGCGTGCCTGCTCGCACATGTGCACACGCACCTGTGCCCGCGTGTGCTCAGGAGCCCACGCACACAGGGGCCTGCACACGCATCTGTGCATGTGCATGTGCTGCACGCGCACCTCAGCACGTGAACACGCCTGAACACACGTCTGTGCACACACAGACAGGCCCTCACATGCATCTGTGCACACACATGCACCTCTGCGCACACATGTGCCTGCCACACGTCTCTGTGTGCTTACACCTGTATGTGCACCTGTGCCCACACACCTGAGCACACCTCTGCGCTTGCCCGCACATCTGTGCACGTGCACACTCAACCTGCACACGCCGCTCGTGCCCACACACGGCTCTGCAGGTGCCTGTGTGCAGTCAGACAGCTGTGCACACACATCAGCACGCACAGGAGCACAGCTGGCTCACGGGAGCACTCCCACACGCGTGCGCGCAGCGCTGGGATCCACACGCAGCCCCAACACACCAGCGCTGATGAACACACAACTGCACCCGTCGGGGTGCACAGCTGCACATCTGGCACGCACACGGCTGCACACACGGACACATCTGCACGCTCTCGTTTGCCTGTGGGTCTGCAAGCACAGATCAGCAGCACATAGGCAAATAGAGAGGGCAGGAGGCCCTACATGGAGCTGCAGGCACACATCAGCACATACATATGTGCACACTGAGACACGTCAGGACATGTATGTGTGCACACAGACATCAGCACACACGTGTGTGCACACTGAGACACGTCAGGACGTGTATGTGTGCACACAGACATCAGCACACACGTGTGTGCACACTGAGACACGTCAGGACGTGTATGTGTGCACACAGACATCAGCACCTACGTGTGTGCACACTGAGACATCAGGGTGCGTGCACATTCCCACACAGATGTCAGGACACGTGTGTGTGCACAGATAGACATGCATGAACACATATACATATGTACACAGTAAGACATCAGGCCGTGTGCACACAGACACGGGTGAACACACATATACACACATGCACACATTAACACATAGCTGGGCACATACAGATACACATCATCATGTATGTGTGCGCACACAGATACACATCAGCACGAACATGTGTGCACTGAGACACACCTGTACACACACAGAGACATCAGGACACGTATGTCTGCACAGATAGACACACATGAGCACACAGTGTGGCATCAGGACATATGTGTGCACATGTTGAGACACATCAGGACATGCACATATGACACAGGCACACACAGCACGTGTGTACACACACACACACAGAGCACACATGGGAGCACACACAGATCACACGTGTGCACACACAGATCACACGGGTGCACATAGATCACACGTGTGCACACACAGATCACACGTGTTCACACACAGATCACACGTGTTCACACACAGATCACACGTGTGCACACACACGGATCACATGTGTGCACACAGATCACACATGTGCACACACACAGATCACACATGTGCACACACATAGATCACACGTGTGCACACACGAGATCACATGTTTGGACACACACAGATCACACGTGTGCACACACAGATCACACGTGTGCACACACAGGATCACACAAGTGACGCTCCCCCATCGCTCCCCGGCCCCTCCGCAGCACAGACGTGACGTGGGGCTGCAGAAAATTATTAGTTTTCCTGACTGGCCCCGAGGGTCAGGAAACACGAAATTACCATCTTCGCAGCCAATTTCGGAGGCACTAGACACTTGTGTGTCGGCGTCGGAGGGCTTTTCAAGCAGTTCCCATGGAAAAGGAAACTCCCCATCTCTTCTGATCACACACGACAGGTCCTGTGCATGTCTCCGGTAGCTTAAAACAACACACCGATATTTATTTTCCTTAATTAAGATTGCATAAGATAGCCCTGGGTCCTGGAGACTTTGCTACAGACTGTAATGACGCCATGTAAATTGTTTTTTATGACCCAATATACAACATATTGTCACATTCAGCCCTTGAATAGGAAGCTAAAAATCTCGGTCCCTATTTTTCTTGTTAATTAGGGTATTATTACTAGGGATATAATCTCATTACTTTTTGGGGAGGAGAAGAACTAGTTGGAGCCACTTTGAAAAGTACTTGAATGTATTTAAATGAAGCAAAATCCGTCTTTCTGCTAATTGCTGATTTTGCATGACATAGAATTATTGTTCTGATTTCGGGGGCACAGTTGATGCAGGGCCGAAGGAGATGGGAGGGGAGAAGGATGCTGTTTGCTTTTTTGCTGCTCAGTTTTCCCCTCCAAATGAATGAGCTGCCCCATAGGAAACTCCGTCTGCAAATTTCCATTCTTTTAAACATCCCCAAAATAAAACAAGATGCAGCCACTTTGAGGAAAAATCATTTGAATGAAATATTTGCTACTTTAAGATTTTTTTTTCCCCCTTCTTCTTTCAGATGATCCTCTTGTTTTGCATGTGAAAAAAATCGTCTGAGATTTACAGCCCTCCCAAATGGAGATAAAGCCTTGGCAATGAGTTGGAAACCTGTTGTAATCTGTGATCCAGGAAACAAAGAGCCTCATTAATGCAGAGACTTTGGTGAGCCTTTGATGTTAGCTAGCATAGCATTCACTCTCAGTTCCATTTGCATTTAAACATTCATAAAAACATCATCTCTGCTTCCTTTGCCTTAAGCAATTTAGGAGTAAAGTATAGCTTCTATTTAAAGAAACCCACTGTGGTGAGGCTTAGAATACAAATATCACATAATCTTCAAGCAGAGCAAATATTTTATCCTACATTTCTGGTGGGCACATTTAATAATATTATATTTAAGACCCAAAATAAAAGATCCATCTTATTTTCATTAACCTTACACCACATATTCCAGTCAGAAGAGAAAACGGGCCCTGTTAATTCTAAATATACTACATACCAATTTGTGGAAGGAAGAGAATCCAGAGGATTTTACATTATTCACAAGAGCTGAATTTTTGAAAACTGGGTGCCTACAGCAAGGTGCCTAACTCTGTATTTAAGCACACAGCACTGAAAATTGTGAACAAGGTCAGGTTTATATATATATATATATATATCTAGTTTTCTGAACTGCAGAATCTTCATCCTGGTTTTAGAATGGGGTAGAAAAAGCTTTTTAAAAAAAATTAAATTTTATTTTTAACAGAAATATAAAAGTAAAATAATAATAATAATAATAAAAAATCAAATGTAAACCTAACATGGAGATTTTCTTCCGAGAGAAGGCACTGTTGCTCCCACGCATCCTGAGGGAATGGCATCATGTGGGGAATTTGGGGAATCTCTTCGAAAGCAAAGGCCTGGGTATCTTATTGTTTTCAAAAGTATCATTCCCCAACACACCTGTGAGAAGTGGAACAGCGCAAAAAATACTGGAAACGTTCAGCTGGGGTTGTTCATGTTCCCTGCGCCCCTAAAAACAACAGAGCAGTGGAAATCATCACATTGGGAACTCTTGATATTCCCACTCTGAGGGGCAAATACAAGGAAATCTTTCTGCTTGGTGCCCTGAGTCCGTGCAGCCAGACTGATGTTTGAAGCATTATAAGCAAGTTTCCTATATGATGAATATCCGAAATTAAAAACTGAAATGGAAAACACTTAAAAACAACTTTACCTTGGATAAAATATTTCTGGAGCTGGATCAAAGGGAAACAAAAAGCCTGGCTTACTTGTCAGATCATATCTGCACTGAACTTCAAGGTTTGATTTGTATTATTTACATGGAAAAGGTCCCAAGAAACCAATTTGGCACTAAATATCTTCATTACGTTTTTTCGCTTGTATGGGTGATTAAATCAATCTAGGGTTCCTGTTTTAATTTTTTTTGAAAGGTGCAGCCATCTGTGAACTGAGGAACTTTTCTGATGTCATCTTTGTGCTTCAGACATACTTTTCCCCCCTCCATTTTATTTTATTTTTTTTTAAAATTTTAATAAGGCAACTTTTAAAGAGCATGTTTGCTTTACTATTAGAGTTTCTAGCTGTCCTTCCAGTAACTGCTTAGAATTAAAGGTGTATAGTAACTTTTTAGAACATTTTAACTGTAACACCTGCAGGTAACAGTAAACCAGATTAAAATATAACCAAGTCTGTCTATCAGTCTGCCTGTACCTCATCCTGCATTTATCAACATGTTCCCTGAATGCTGTGTGTGAAACTCAGCACATGGATTTCACACCGTGCTGTGCACAGCACAGGCTTTACACGTTACAGTGAGTGAAGCCTCTTCTTTAAATTCAATGTAAATGTTGCCACTAATTTCTCCTAGACAAGTGTTCCTCCTCCCGTGCTTTAAAAGGGGCTTCCTTGGAGTTATTTCATTTAGTTTAATTTTTTTTCCTTTTTTTTTTTTTTTGTTCATTTATGTTAATCTATTTGGAGTGGCTCCCATTTAACTCTCTTTGGACACATTTTTTCATTTAATGTGGGTAAGGGACACA